AAAAATATTAAAAATAAAATGTTAACAAGCCACAATAACATTGACAATGTTCTTTTAATTTTTAGTTTTAGTGTTTCAAAAAGAAAAAAAAAAAAATTTTTAATAGAACTTTTTTCTTAGTTTTCTTAAATTTTTAACTTTTTTTTGTTTAAAAAAATATCCTTGTGGAGCATTCAATTTTTAGGAACTTACTTTTTTCAATTATTTATTTTTTATTTAAATTTTTTGTTTAATGTTCTTTTAATTTTAACATGTTATTGTTTTTAAAAGAAAAATGTCTTTTTTGAAACGTTTGATTTTTAGAATTTGATTTTTTTGTCATTTAATTTTTTTGGTTAAATTTTCTTTTACTTTTTTGGTTTTAACGTTTTAAAAATAAAAGTAGTTTGTTAATTACATTTAATTTATAATTTTTTGTCATTATTATTTGTTTTTTTCTTTTTCATAAAAATTTTCTTTTAATTTTTGGATTTTATTGTTTTAAAAATAAAAACATTTTTTGTAATCATTTGATGTTTAGAAACTTTTTTAATTTTTTTGTTTGCTTTCTTCTGTAATTTTATTTATTTTTCCATTAAAGCTTATTTTAGTTTTATTTTATATTGTTTTAAAAAAAGATTTTTTTTCATAAAATTTTTAGCTATACTTTTTTTCTTTAATTTACAATTTTTTCTTTTTTTATACCCGAGCGCACTTGTGCACAAGGGTATATTAATTTTGTTCACATAACGGTTGTTTGTAACAGCCAAAACGAATCGAGATAGATATAGACAAATGTATACATAAATGATCAGCATGAAAAAAGAAATCGATTAAGCCATGTCTGTCTGTCCGTCCGTCTGTCCGTCTGTCCGTCTGTCCGTCTGTCCGTCTGTCCGTGTACACGATAACTCGAGCAAAAATCGAGATATCTTAACGAAATTTGGTATGTAGGTTTCCCTTAATCCAAGGTAGGTTGGTATTGAAAATGGGCGAAATCGGACTTTAACCACGCCCACTTCCCATATAACGGTAATTTCCAGAAATACGAAAACTGCGATATTTTAGTAACTACTAAAGATAATTTACTCAAATTTGATATTTATAATAAGTTTTAGACGAAAAATAAGAATATTATAAATTTTTGGAAAATGGGCGTAGCCACGCCCACTTATGGTTATATGTGTATATCTTGGTAACCGCTGCACCAATTTCTTCCAAACTTGGCACAGTTGTTGGCCTTCGCACAACATACTAAATGGCCGAAAATTTTTAAAATCGCTCAATAACCACGCCTACTTCCCATATAACGGTAATTTTCAGAAATACGAAAACTGCGATATTTTAGTAACTACTGGAGATTATTCGCTCAAAATTGATATTTACAATAATTTTTCGACGAAAAATAAGAATATTATAAATTTTTGGAAAATGGGCGTAGCCACGCCCACTTATGGTTACATGTGTATATCTTGGTAACCGCTGCACCAATTTCTTCCAAACTTGGCACAGTTGTTGGCCCTGGTACAGCATAAAAAATCGCCGAAACTTTTTAAAATCGGACAATAACCACGCCCACATCCCATATAACGGTAATTTAGGGAAATACAAAATCTTCGATAAATCAGTAAATATTGAAGCTAATTTATTCAAAATTGATACTTGCAACAATTCTTTACCAAGAAATACGTTTATGGTAAAATTTTGGAAAATGGGCATGGCACCGCCCACTTATGATCACATATATGTATATTGGTAACCGTTCTACCAATTTGTACCAAACTCGGTGTGGTTATTGTGC